TTTCGGAAAAAAAAAAGGGAAAATTTTCAAAAAAATATTTAAAAAAAAAATCGAAAAAATAAAACAAGAAAAGAAAAGACCTTAGCTTTATTGTGTTTGTCTGATTCCATGGAATTCAAACTCATGACTGTGACTGGCACCAATACAAGACAGCCAAAAACGAAAAAAACAAAAGCCTATAAGAAAACACATTGCCTACAAGCAAAACACATTTGTCTGACTCCATCGCGATTCGAACCGGTGACCTGTGCACTACAGTTACATGTCTGGTGTTCATCCACATGGATCACCTTTTTTTTTTTTTTTTTTTTTTTTTTTAAGCCACTAGTACCGTTGTCGTTTCGGAAAATAGTGGGTGTCCGACCTTTCAGGAGGGCCAAAACGAAACGACGGCCGCAGATTAGATTTATCAATGGCAGCCGTCGTCCAGCCCGGCCTCCGAATTCTTCGGGAGCTGACGTTTTCCTTCATTTCTGAAGCGGCAAAGGTACTAGTGGTTTAATGTGGCCCGATGGACCACGGATCAGATATTAAACTGATGATCAGAACAGATACAGTGCACTTGATCTTACCTAGCCAAAAGCCTGAGAAAGGTATCACCAATGTATTCAAACACCCACTCTATTTTTTTTCTTTTTTTTTTGAGTTTTGCAAAATGAAATGGAATCGATCAGTTGCGCAGAAGTTAAAAGTCAGACTGTCAGAGTTAGGGACAATTAGACACGAGTCACACGACATATATTAAATTATTAATACAACGTTTTTCTTTTTTCCTTTTAAATTTTAAATATAGTTAATTAATATAACGTTAATTAACTAGGTAGCTAGGCTACCAGAGTGGCCCGGGACCACTTGCCTGGCCGGGCAAAAAAAAAAAAAAAAAATTAAAAAATCACTTTTTAATTTTAATTTTTATTTTAAAATTTAAATTTCGTAAAGAATTTCAATGTGACCCTGAGGCAAAAGTTGTTCAGTTTATTTTTCTGCATAACATAATTTTTTCCCGATTTTTTTTTGTTTTTGTTTTCTGCTGGGGCCTTCTTTGGCCCTTGCACGGCCGGGCCGCCCGGGAAAAAAGGGGGTGAACCGGGCCGCCCGGGAAAAAAGGGGGTGAACCGGGCGGCCCGGCTGGTAGCCTAGCCTAGCTAGATAGCAGATGCTATTGAATATTAGATGCTGTCCTTCCAGACATCCATTAAAATTGGAGCGATACGGAGAAAGAAGATTTGCATGGCCCCTGCACAAGGATGACACGCATAAATCGAGAAATGAATATTAGATCTTAATTTAAGTTAATTTGTTACATAATAAAAATATTACGGGATCGTACAGAACGTTAGCACTCGAACCGAGATGCAAGCAATTGCTTGAGAATGGCAACGACCACACAATCACCTACCTGCAATACCGCTGAAGAAGATGTAAGAATATTTCTGCTTCGAGATCAGCAGTCGTCAACCGGGATGAACAAGCGATTTGAAGGCGATTCTTGACTTGTACAAGTACATCTCGGTAGGTCGGTCGGCGGCCACTGGCAACAAAGCAAATCGGTGACAAGATTTCAACAAGCTGAGACAATGTGTCACATACACATTTTTTTTACTTTTTTTTTAACCAACGAAAGGCCCCTTCTATTCTGGGGGGCAACAGTGCGGTTACTTGTCACCGCCGGCAAGCATGTTTGTACATCCAAGGAGGAAGGGGGGAGATACAAAGTTTTTTTTTTTTTTTTTTTTCCTTTTCTTTTGCCTAAGATGGCTAATCATTTTATTACAAACAGGCCCAGTGCCCAAGATATACACAAAAGAAAGAACATCAAAATCAAGATCCATCGCGAACTACGTGGTGGAGGAGGTCGGCTCGTCGCGAGATGAAGAAGACTGCTGCATGCTGCTGCTCGTTGTGAGATCCTGTGAACTCGTCTTTCGCTGCTGCGCTTCATCTGGCGAACTATGTGGTGGAGGAGGTCGGCTCGTCGCTGGAAGAAGAAGGCAGAGGAGAGAGTTTGCAAGTAGATGGTGGACATTACGCGTCCTACTAGTGAGGGGGCTAGCTAGTAGGATAGGAATAGGGCACAGCTAAGTCTTGCTGGAGTGGGGTAAGGAGGCTTTTGCGGAGGTTCAATGAGCAGTTCTAGCAATAGGTTAGCAGTTATCCATGTTTTTCCTAAATTTTCCAGAACCTTTTTCATAGTTCTCAGATTGTTCTTAGCCGAAGCCAGGTAATGGCCCTGGCATTTCAAATCATTTGTACAATTCTATATGGGACACTGGGCCCGGTTCCCAGCACGTGTTGCTCCCCACGAATAGACTGGAGCATTTGTTCCCAAAAAAAAAAAAAAAAAAAAAAGATCCATCGGGAGCTGATGGGTCTATATGCCGACAACCTGCAGCCATCTTCTTTTTTTTTTTTTTAGTATTTGGCAATTTGCATATTTATTATTATTTTATTTTCTTTTATTTTAGTATTATTATTGTTATAATTTTTTTATTATTATTATTGTTATTTTAACTTATTTATACTTATTATTTTCTTATCATTGTTGTTGACACTTGTTGTTGTTGTTATTTACATAGATTGGTGTGAAATATCGTTAAAATGACCCTTTGGTCTTCTTATAAATGGGGGTGAAAATTTGGGGGTCGGTTAACCTTCTGTCCCGGAAATCGGGTCCAGCGTCCCTTACAAGAAAAGCACCCCAACGCATCCCAAGACATTGGCATTGATTACTTCCACCCTGGAAAGATGTACCACTGCTCCTTGCCAGTCCTTCCTCCTACTCGTCCGTTCCTGTCTCTTCTGGCTCCTGTATGTAACCCTATGCCCGGCCCCATCATGCTGCATCCTGAGCTCCTTATGGGGATCCCTACCATGTGTTGGTCATTACAGTGAGCCCCTACTGTCTGTCTGCTCTAGTGCGAAGCCAGGCTGTCAGTCGAAGTCTGCGTTGGCTATGTACCAGCTCTGAGGACTGTCGTGTCTGCCCCGCCGAGGGCTCCCCGACCCGGGAGACTGTTGTGTCTGCCCTGCGGAGGGCTCCCTGGCCCCGGTCCGAGTTTGTGGTACAGCTAACGGTGGCAGGGCTCCTTGTGTACTGGATCGGCGAACACTGTGAGTGTCTCGAGTGTTGTCCTGGGGAAAGGGGTGCCAGTCACTCGTTGCCAGAGGCCGCTGACTCTGATCCAGATTTGGCACGCTTTGGAGCACGCCATCAGGCAATGTAAGATGTCCTCCTGCTGTCCTGTTTCGCAGATCGTGCAGAGGTCGTCAAAGGGAGCTTGCTGCCTCGGACTGCGTCCTCTGCCGTTCTTGATTACCACTATTCCTGGTCAGGAGATTTCAGACACCCTCGCGAGACTGGTGCCGCTGTGCCAGGTCCATCTTTCCTCAAAGAATGTCTCGGACAGCAACCGACCGTCATCTCAGTTTGTATCCAGGAGATTGACTCTTCGTTGTACAGCGCCCGTACGTTGCTGTAGTCTCCATGCCCACTCCGCCCGGTCCACCTCCAGGTCCACGATCTCTATTGTGGGGCCATATAAATCGTGAGGTCTTCGTCCTTCACTAGCCTGATCTTGCGCAGCAGGTCCGTTCCGATCACGACTTGTGCTGTGCTGTTCTTCGCCAGTTTGCTTGTCAGCGTGCCCGGCGTCTCCAGGATGTGTATGTCAAAGAGAAGCCATCGTCCATCCGGTTTAGCTCGTGCCTCAAAGGCGAAGGCTATTGTTGGTGTGGGCTCGGCTGTCATTGTAGCCCTGTTATGCGACTGATTGAAATGCAATCCAGCAGAGCCTCAACATGTTCCCATACACACATGCCATGATGACCAAGTAGATTTGGAGAGGGAATTCAGTCCAAAAAACAGATTTTTTGAGATATGCACAGTGGAAGCTCACACCAAAACAGACTAAGAATTGAAAATTCAAAATTTAAAATTATCAATTCATAGTCCCTCCCCTCTCTTTAGCTCAACCAGTACCCCAAAAAACCCAAGAATCTCAGCCGAGAATAAAACACCTTGAACCTCTAGAGTCTTGAGCCGTCCTCCTGCCTCCAGCATCATCCTCCACACAGCCAGCTATGGCGCACAGCGCAACCCACTATCACCTACCTTTTATCTAACGAAGGACGAAAAACCCTTTGCAGTAGGCAAAACTATATCATACGATCATCTCATCACTCAGAAAGGAATTCTCGCACCTAAAGCCATAGCTGCTTTCTATACTTCAAGGAAATAGACGTGAACTACAGGGAAGAGAAAACTTCAAATAGCAAACTGGAGGGCTTATAGTTTAATTGGGGTGCAAATGCACCGCTCATAACGCTGATATTGTAGTTTCAAATCCTACTAAGCCTATCCAGTTTCTGGGTGTATAGCTTAGTTGGTAGAGCATTGGGCTTTTAGCCTAATGGTCGCACGTTCAAATCCTGCTATAGTAGCAGCTATACCCATAAGGAGATGATGGGGTAGACATGCTTATACTCCTTGCAGGCAACGAACTTGTATACATATTCCACAAAGAAACGGCTATGGTGAAGGAATCAACATCTTCTCCCCCCATGGAAGGGAAAGCCAACAACACAGTACTCAGGGTTGCCAACCGTTAAATTCGTGAAGTATTCTGTTCCAGCCTACCAAAGGAAAACTTCACACTAAAGCAATTATCTGAGCGCCAGAGACAACCAAGAAAAGGTGAAACCAAAGCTCCCCAAAACCCACAACGTCACTATTGCACAGCACATGTACATACACGCCCAAATTGCACAGAGCACTATTACTCATACATACCGATCCTTGCACACACACATACGCATGATAAGCCTTCAGTACACGCACAAATGATATGCTTGCATGCACATGTACACATGATCCATGCATGCACACATACACATGATCCTTGCATCTACACGTATGCGTGATAAGCTTGCAAGCACACGTACACAAAATATGCGAGTTGCACCCGCTGTGAGCAACTCGCCGCTGCTTTGCTCGCGGTGGAGTGAGTATCGCCATACATGGTAGGAAGTCACCTACCAAGGGCAGAAGGACGCGAAGAACACAAAGCAGGATGCAGATAGGGACACGGATGCACCAGGCGTATACAGAGTTATGTGTTTCATGTCGCCAGAAAACCATCATGCATGAAACACGTATCAAAAACAGTCGGTGAGAGTGAACTTGGCACACGGCTGAGAGGAGCCAACTACAGTTAAGAGGAAATCAGCACAGGTCTCCGGTGCACACACACACACACACACACACACACACACACACACGTGCAGTTCCAGTGCAGATACCGTGCAACAATGCAATCAAGTACAGAAAACTGTCTGCTGTGGTTTGTGCATGGTTTGGACCCGATACCATCACCCAACTCCGGTCCCTTCTCTCCCTTCCCCCCCCACTCCCTGTTGATCGTCTTCTCCCACAACCACAACCTGAAATC